TTGGAAGGGAGACCACCAAGGGAGTCCAAGGTTGCTATGCTGAGGCAGGCAATGGCAAACCTCCTCTGAATGTCTCTTGCTTTGTGTGTGTGTGTGTGTGGGCTGGCTGACGAGAATCACAGGCATGCTAAACGAGGCAGGCCACATTCCTCCACTCCTCGATTTGTGCCGTGGAAACTCAGGCGTCAGCAACCTGACAAACAGGGGTGTCAGTTTTTAGCCCTCATGATGACTGACAATGTGAAGGGACTGGTAAGGCTGCCAAAACCAGTGCACGGGGCTGCACAGGATGTCAGGCAAAAGACACACAAAGGCTTCGCACGCGCCTCTACTGTTTCCCCAGAGAGAGCAAAACTATACCCAACGTTAATCCAGCCTTCCTTCCACAGAACTCAGTGGGGCACCTGTCCCATGGAGCTCACTTTTCCAGCCACCGACCAGCCCCAGCCCTGCAGACGGCTGTTTCGTGCGCCTTCCACGTGGGAGCAGCTCATACAATCCTAGGCACATTTGCTTAGTAGGTGAAAGAGTCTTGCTATTAAAAGTGGCGTACACACAGAATGTAAACGAGTGAAGTGTCTCCACATCTTTAACCTCACCCTGTATAAAGTGAGAAAGGTATGCGAAGGCGACCCCTGGTGGCAAGATTGTACCACAGCAATGTTTATGCAACATGTCATAGGTAAATGTGTGTAAGGGAACCCGGAGAGAGTGGAGAGGTGGCGGTGTGTGCGTGTGTGTGTGTGGGGGGGTGTTTAACCCTTACTCTGCTTGCTGTTTCTGCATTCCAAATGGCTCTCTCCAGAGCCTGTTCTTCCTCTGAAGAATTCTGATGTGTTCACCTTTGACACGTACAACTGGATTCAGGGCCTGTGTGTGTTTGTGTGCTGTGAATTGAAGCACAATAGTGGCAGTCGGGAAAGGGTTGAGCACAGACACACACACACACCTTGCATGGTGAGAAACTGTTATCTACCATGTCAGAGTGAACCAAGAAAAATGCTTACACCCCACTGCCGTAGCCCTGAGACAGATAGTGATTAGAATGTGGAACTCGCTGCCACAGGATGTAGTGATGATGACCACAGGAATAAACAGCTTTCAAAGGGGATTGAATGGGTTCATGAAAGATAGGTCTATTAGCCATGGCTACTAGCCATGGTGACTGAGGGGACCCTCCACATTCAGAGGCACTAAACCTCTGGATCCCAGAGCCAGGAGGCAACACCCGGGGAAAGCCTCAGCCTCTCTGCCCTGTTCTTGGCCATCCAGAGGAACTGGTTGGCCACCGTGTGAGAAAGGATGCTGGACTTAGATGGACTACTGTTCTGATTCAGCAGGGCTCTTCTTATGTCCTTCTGTTCCCTTGCTCCAGATTGCCATGACCAAGATGCTTCTATCTTATCTATGGTGTTGCGGTTCTCTCGCACTTGCCTGTGTGTAACGTGCAGCCCTGTGGGTTCCCCGATCTGAAGCAAAAAGGCTCCATCAGAGACTCAGTGTTACATAAGCATAACTCTCAGGTTGTTTTTTACCTCCTACCCCGACAGCAGAGTCATTGGCACTGTAAGTCCAGGTGGAGTTGAGCCACTCAGAGGAGGTCGGGACAAGACGGGATCCATCGCCCGGGAGTGTCCGTAAGTCCGATCGGGCTTCGTTGATCGAGGGACCCTTCACCCCTGCCGGGAGACCACAAGCAGCCATTTACAGGTTGCAGGGTTGCTAATTTTTAGCACACCCTCTTCCCAAAGGCCTAATCTGATATCATTACTTCTAGATGTGATGGCACCCCCCCCCCCAGTGAATAAGCTTACCCGAGGAAGGGCAAACAGAAGAAAGCACTAACATACACACACACCACGAATATCACCAAGGACAGTGACCTTCTACTCAGGCAGGTTATGGATGCCCCTCACACAAACTGGTGGGTCATTCACCCCAGCACTGTTTCTGCCTGACCTGAAGTGGTAACGGAGGAACCACTATCTGCCCTGTTGGGGAAATGTACATGTATCGACAGGTGTACCAGCATGTTTATTTGCCTTTTATTTATTTATCTAGAACATTTCTCTGCTGCTTCTCTGGGAAACCTGCTCTGGCGGCTTAAAGGTAAAACATGATTTAAAAAAAACATGCTTCACTAGGGGAGCAAACAGCTACTCCCCCGGGACCATTTCAGATCAGGAAAATGACTGGGGGGGGGGCTTAATCCCTCATATTATAATTCTGAGCCGAGTCAGGCCCCCACACGCCTGGTTTTTCACTGGGGAAAAATGCCGGGAGCGCCATTAGTGCAACTCCTTGGCTTTGTGTGTAGCGGAGCCCTTAGCAGAAGGAAATCGTTGCATCCAACCCAAGGAACAACCGGTACTGCAGTCTGGCCCTGGTAAACCCTGGTTCAGATGAAGCCTTGCTTCAGAAGAGCCCCGACTGGCTTCCCCAACAACGCTTTTCTCCCAGCATTCATTTCAACGCCAAAGCACTTTGCCAGCCCAGATGTTCAAGGCTCTCAGCTAATTCTACATAAACTTTGCCACAGGGCTGGGCAAGGAAGGAATCCCTCTGATACGATAGGATCCGGCTGCGAAAATGTAAATGGGGAGGGGGATGTGTGACCCCCCCTCCTCATTCTCCAGTGGGGGGCCCCCACAGTGTTTCAAAGGGACACTAGGAGAACCCCGCCCATAACGTCCCTGTTGCACAGAAGGCAACAGGGCTGTGATCTGAAGCCGCACTAGCCAGGGAAGGGCAGGTATTTATATATTTATTTATTAATTAATTTTATATTTACATTTATATCCCGCCCTCCCCGCCATTCGGCAGGCTCAGGGCGGCTAACAACAAATATAAAAATACATTAAAATTCCATTAAAATTTATCTCCATAAAAATAAAGAATATTTTTTAACCCAGTTACTTTTGCTGGTCCAGCTATAAATGCTGGAGGCTCACTGAGGACCCAATCTTATTTGGTCTGATCACTTCGTGTTGACAGAAATGCTTTGATTAGATTAGCAATTTGAATTACACTTGTACTGAAAGTTGACACTGAAAGATCAATGATGAGCCCAACTGTGCTTGTTTATTTCACCTGTGCTTCAGATGGCAGAGGTAACAAAGTTGTCAAAGCAGCCACAATAAGATCTCCTTGCACAACTTTTAGAGGTATATGCCCAGCCAATCTCAACCAGCACATCATTTTCTAAATCAAAAAGTGGGAGTAACACACTCGAGGGCTTCACCTCAGATGTAAAAAAAAAACCCAGATCCCCTCCCCATTCCAAGAGCTACAGTTCAAAGGGAGGACAGTCTTCCTCCATCCCCACCCCCCCTTCCTTGCAGGTGTGGAACTGATGTCTTCTAATTAGAGACTCCAACTGCAAGCCTCGGGGGAATGATTGGCAGGCATCGGGGTGAGGCTGGGAGTTCAAAGACAGCCCCGCTGCTCTCCCCCGTACGCACCCGGAGTCCTCTGCAATCCTCTAAGTACAGAGGCATTTGCATCTGTGTTTCGCCAGGCCCCATCCATGTCCCCGCAGCTGCCCCCGAGCGGCACCTTGGAAGAGCCTACTTGTTTTGAGATTCCGCTCTGCCACCTTACACAAGACAAGCGGAACGGGTCCGGCCTGCCTTCCCCACCCCAGAGGCAGCTGCCTTCCTGTTGGCCCAGCTTACCCCTGTACGAGATGGCGAAGCCCTGGGCTTGCAAGAGCTGGTCCGACTGGAAGGAAAGGATCAGGTAGTCGGTGGGCAGCAGCAGCAGGGGAGCCCCCGGCCTCCGTCGCCCGTCAAACTGGGCCAGCGGCTGGTTGCTGTGTCCATCCCGGAGCTCCAGGCGGTCATTGGGGTCATGCAGGTCAAAGATCCGGAAAGTCAGCTCCAAGGACTCGCAGCCCGGAGGGTGCAGGACCCAGCTGCAGTTGCTGTCGGCCTCGTAGTCGTCTGGGAACTGCGGCGAGTAGATCACCCCGGAGAGATCGCTGAAGTTTCCGTGACAGGCACCCATGGATACTGTGCGGTGGGAAGAGGTGGGGAAACGGGTCAGGAGAAGGCCTCACAGAGTGTTCCAAATGTTCATTGCTCATTCTACAATGCGTCCACATTAGATTTTTTTAATCGCTCCCATAATCCAAGGAACTGCGAGTGACATACGTGGTTCTCTTTCAGATATCGGGTCTGACTAGACATAACCCTTGTGTTTTCCCCACACACACTATGTCTAAAAAGTAAAGGTAAAGGTTCCCTTGCTCGAAAGCCAGTCGAGTCCGACTCTAGGGTTGCGGTGCTCATCTCCGTTTCCAAGCCAAAGAGCCAGCACTGTCCGAAGACGTTTCCGTGGTCATGTGGCCGGCATGACTAAACACCAAGGCGCACGGAACGCTGTTACCTTCCCACCGAAGTGGTCCCTATTTATCTACTTGCAATGTCTTGCTTTTGAACTGCTAGGTTGGCAGGAGCTGGAACTAGAGATGGGAGCTCACTCCGTCATGCGGCACCCGGGTCTCAAACTGCTGAACTACCGACCTTCCACAGCCTGCAGTTCAGCATCTTAACCTATTGAGCCACCGCAGCTCCTACACTATGTCTACTCAGCTCCTTTTGATCAGACGTGAGCTGCAAATTCTGTGCTCGGAAATGTCGGGGGTTCCAATTTAGATCGGGACATCAGTACACTGGGAGAGAAAGGCTTACGCCTTCCATCCGATGCCACTTTTCCAAACTGAAATGGCCCTGAAAAGTCATTATTTGTCCCATTCAGAAAATATCTGTGTCATTATGGGCTACACCTAAGTTTCTACAATGGGGCAAATAGCTCCCCAGGGCAATTTTGTGAAAATGGTGGTGGTGGGGAGCTTAAGCTCCCTGTCTCTGCACATCCTGGTCCCTATCTGTATTGGGCCCCCGCACACCTAGTAACTATGTTCTGAGTGCAAAACCCCTAGCGTACATCTGGACAACAGAGGCAGACATGGAGACATGAGGACAAGTTAATGGCCTGTAGCGAACTAGATTCAAATCCTCATTTGCCGTGAACCTCCCTGTGTGACCTTGGGCCAGTCATGTTCCTTCAATCCAACCTACCATAGAGTTGTTGTGAGGATAAAACGGAGAAGGAAGAGGAACCACAAAGGCCGACCGGAGCTAGACATCCGTAGCTGGTTAGACCAAGATGGAGTGGACCAAGCCATGTTAGTCCGTCTCTAGCAGTAGAAAAGAGTAAGAGTCCAGTAGCACCTTAAAAGGTAAAGGCTCTCTTGCTCGAAAGCCAGTCGAATCCAACTCTAGGGTTGTGGTGCTCATCTCCATTTCAAAGCCGAAGAGCCAGCGTTGTCCGAAGACGTTTCCGTGGTCATGTGGCCGGCATGACTAAACACCGAGGCGCACGGAACGCTGTTACCTTCCCACCGAAGTGGTACCTATTTATCTACTTGCAATGTCTTGCTTTTGAACTGCTAGGTTGGCAGGAGCTGGAACTAGAGAGGGGAGCTCACTCCGTCATGCGGCACACTCGGGTCTCAAACTGCTGAACTACCGACCTTCCACAGCCTGCAGTTCAGCGTCTTAACCACTTGAGCCACCGCAGCTCAAAACCTTAAAGACTAACAAAATATGTGGCAGAGTAGGAGCTTTCCTGTGTCACTGCTCACTTCTTCAGATACAGCTAGAATGGGACTCCATCTGTCCTATTTATTGGAAAGTGGAGTGATTTCAGATGTCCAATGACATTAGCAAATGACAAATACCCTATTACCCCTCTGCATACCTCACCTAAATCCAATCCTGCTATTGTTATTCACATGCTAATGTCATTTGCCTGCTAATGTACTCCTTTGGCAACTGAAGTCACTCCACTTTCCAATAAATGGTTCTGTTGACAATGACAGAGGATGTCTCACTTAGTTAAGTGATATGTTTATAACTTTGGTTTTTTCCTCTTCTTTTTTGACATTATGCACTTCCTCTAAGGAGCTGCGGTGGCTCAAGTGGTTAAGACGCTGAACTGCAGGCTGTGGAAGGTCAGTAAGTTCAGCAGTTCGAGACCCGGGTGCCGCATGACGGAGTGAGCTCCCGTCTCTAGTTCCAGCTCCTGCCAACCTAGCAGTTCGAAAGCAAGACATTGCAAGTAGATAAATAGGTACCACTTCGGTGGGAAGGTAACAGCGTTCCGTGTGCCTCGGTGTTTAGTCATGCCGGCCACATGACCACGGAAACGTCTTCGGACAGCGCTGGCTCTTCGGCTTTGAAACGGAGATGACCACCGCAACCCTAGAGTCGGATTTGACTGGCTTTTGAGCAAGGGAACCTTTACCTTTAAGGTGCTACTGGACTCTTGCTCTTTTCTATGGCTGATTAGAGATTGGAACTCACATCCCTATGATCCCATGCCACACTGACTTCCACTGCCAATTTTGTAGCCCAGTCCAATAATCTTCAGTTTAGGGATAGTTGACAGAGGCCGGAAAAGAGCACCAGAGCCTAAGGCCGTGCAGTGAGGCAAGATTTCGTAACTTCCCCCCAAAGTGAAAAACAAAAGCAGCAGTAATGAAAATAAATGTTTAGCGGAGAGATGCAAAATTTGATCAATTGTTTAGAACATAAAGGAACTGAATTCACAGGACTCTTGAGAATTAACCGAATCACAAAAGCATCTATACAGAAAATCCGGGTTGCTGTAATTACAGCCAGTTAGAACTCAAATGCCACAAAATTAATAAAAAACAAATATTAGGGCGGGGCCATGTGTGAGGAGTTGAGCATCTGCTTTGCATGCAAAAAACCCCCTGGTTCTATCTCTGGTGTCTCCCGCTACAGACAGTCAGTATCTGGAAATACCTTTCTCTGTCTGAGAGCTGCTACCAGTCACACCAGAAGGTGACAGTCTCCGGTTGCTTCCACGTGGGCCTTTTGCACTGCCCTCCCCAAACCAAAGTGGAGGCTTCCATATGACATCACTGTGACATCATTGTCCACCTTCTAGGCTTTCCACTGTGAGGTTTCCCAAACCTGCTTTGCTATGATTTTTCCGGGAAGATCATACCAAAAATGGGTCTCGGACCCGGGTAGATAGGATGATGCAGATCTCCCCACCTCTTGCCCACATCCAGCACTATTTCTTTGCCATTCCCCAACTACCCCCTTTCACAGGTGGGCTGCCAGTTTTTAAAAAAATAATTACTAGCAAGTATATTACGGTAGCGTTTGGGGTAAACCCAATCAAGTAGATAAATAGGTACCACTTCGGTGGGAAGGTAACAGCGTTCCGTGCGCCTTGGTGTTTAGTTGGTAAGGCCACATGACCACGGAAACGTCTTCGGACAGCGCTGGCTCTTCGGCTTTGAAACGGAGATGAGCACCGCAACCCTAGAGTCGGACTCGACTGGCTTTCGAGCAAGGGAACCTTTACCTTTTTTGGGGGGGGGGATTGGCAGTGTCAATGAGCGCATAATGGGAAACTATCCCACACATGAAGCTGCCTTATCCTGAATCAGTCCACCAAAGTCAGTATTGCCTATTCAGACCGGCAGCAGCTCTCCAGGGTCTCAGGTAGTGGTCTTTCAAATCCCCTACTGCCTGGTTCTTTTTAACTGGCAATGCAGAGGATTGAACCTGGGACTTTCTGCATGCCGAGCAGATGCTCTGCCGCTGAGCCACAGCCTGTCCCCATGTGGAAACAGCCTTATTTGGCATAAGGCAACTTCATAAGCCAATGGAAATCACATTACGTTGATACCTGTTGGACCAATCTGTCCTCCATGAGTTCATTCAGCCTCTTTGAAAAGCCATTTGGTGAGGAAATGCATCGTGGCAAGGCTCTTATTTAAAGAAGTGCATTCCTCTATGAATAAAGCCTGTTTTCTTTGTAGCAGGTACTCATTTGCATATTAAGCGACACACCCCCTAATGTAGCCAATCCTCCAAGAGCTTACAGTAGCTCCTGTAAGAAGAGCTCTGTAAGCTCTTGGAGGATTGGCTACATTAGGGGTGTGTGGCCTAATATGCAAAGGAGATCCTGCTACAAAAAGAGCCGGTTGCTCAATCTGACTTGGGAAATTCCTGGAGACCTGGAGACAGTGGCTGGGAAAGGGGTGGGTGGGTGGGGTTTGAGGGAAC